ATTCGCAACACTCCGCGCCATTTGCAGTCGCAATATTTATATAATAACGAAGCCAGGGAATAATCTCTTGAACAAACAGCGTGTATGTCGGCGGAGAGCGGATCGCACGAGAAAATGCCTCTCACTTTTACTACGCGCGTGCGAAGAAAAATAAGACACTTAGAAATGCATAAAACTTTAGTATAGACACATTGTTTTACAACCGATTACGAAGAGAGAGTACTTATTATTTAATATCTATTAATATTTAATTAGATTGTTCTCGCAATTGTTGTAAAAAAAATAATGTTTTAAAAAGTTTTTGTTTGCCAGAACGTTTTTTTTTTTTTTTTTTTTTTCAAACAAACTTAAACTTATGGTACATGAATTAGACAACAAAATTAGATGTATCATCGTTAAGATAACATTTCGTATGCGTCTTTTGCAAAACGCATTATCTCTAATTTTATGGACGAGAATATTTGAGAGACCGCGCGCGGAGGATGCAACCGCGCTTCCGCAGTTTCATCGCACGAATTGGAGTTTAATTTTTTCCTTTCCGCCTAGGCTGCGCGTCATAGCGCAGCCCGGTGTATGTATATATAGTATACCCGGCGAAGAACCGCGGGAGGATAGTTTTCTCCCTGTTTTTTTCGCGGTCCTTGCCGTACATTCGTACTTTTGTGTCTGCGGCGCGTATTGTCCGAACGCGATACGAATCCGCGTCCATTGATGTTACTGTTCGTCGAAACCCGTTTTCTCTCTCTTCCACCTTTTGCCTCTTTACCTCCTCACCCCTCATCTGTGCGGGCATCGATTTCTCTCTCCGCGTTTTTCAGTCCCTTTTCTCTCTCTCTCTCTCTCTCTCTTTCTCTTTTCTTTTTTTCTCCGTTCTTCTTTCTCGCATATCCACCCCGCTCTCTCTCTCTCTCTCTCGGTGGTTGTACCACGGCGCGCAACTTTATTAGAATTTTATTGGATCGCCGCGACCGCTTTCATTAAACTGGATGCTGCTAATTGAGTCGAGGCTTTAGCTCGCGCCACTTCTCTTTTTCTCTCTGTCTCTCTTTCTCTCGCTCCTTTTTTCTTCTTCCATCAGCAATTTGATACAAATATGACGCGTATAGCGAGCGCGGTTTTCTCGCCGACGACGTGATGCACTGAACTGCTTCTCTCGCCTTTATCTTCCCGTCAACACTTTATTCACTCTTTTATTTAACCTTCCTTTACACCCTTTTCCCCGGAGAATTCTCAGTTACATTTTCGTCTTGGACTCTTGTCTCTCCCCGAGTTCTTTCTTTTTTTTTTACCTTCGATCTTTCTTTCTCTTCTCGCTATTTTCCTCTTTGACATTTTCCCGGTAGCTTTTTCCTTTCTCCAAACATTTAACCTTCGGATAAGGTTGACTGCGTCGGATATTTCGAAGCGGGCTTTTATGCGGCCGCGTTCTCCGTGACTGTATCACGTTTCTGTTTCTGTATCACGTTATGCGTTATCTCGTTGGGACTGACGGTTTTTCACGTCTTGTAATCTCTTTTTTTTTTTTTCAGACATCGCTCCTCTATTTGCTTTCCACTGTAAAAGCTTTTTTAGAGAACGTTTTTTTTTTCCCCGGACATTCCCCGACATTTTTTCCCGAGATGAACATACTTGTCGAGCGGTGCGTTAAATTGTTCACAATATAGTTAGTATACATATAGTATTTTTTAATCTGCTGTACAACGAGAGAGAGAGAGAGAGAAAGAGAGAAAGAGCGAGAGAGAGAGGTGATCTATCGAAATCCTTGATCGTTACAAATTGTTTTATCATAAATTCTGTGTGAAATTTTTTTTACATAAATTCACTTAACCAATTATTTGTGTAATAACGTTAATACGTAAAAATTTAAACATTTTCGAAAACAGACTTGTCAAAAAAAAAAAAAAAAAAAAAAAAAAAGGAATTTAAAATTGAGCGAACTGTAAAATATAATTTTTACTTCAACATATATATAGAAGAATAAAAAT